CGTGAGTCATATATGTATGGTGTGTATGAATCTTAGATACGTATCATATGTACGTGTTGTATGTATGAGTCATACCCACGGTCTGATATCCTACAGACAACAGAACCTGCTGATAAAAGAATTTGCCTTACAACAGCAAAGAAGCAAGAGGCGTCAAGCTGTTTGTAATCAAGCTGCCATGGTGCCAGTTGCTAGGAGGAGAGTGAGGCCATGCCTTGTTAATCCAGGAGCAGCTGATGCTGGTGGTGGTGGTACTGCTGGGGGTGTTCAACAGAAGGAACAAAGAGCTTTCCTGCATAAGAATCCTGCACACTTGTTTGTTATTTGGAATGAATGGGAATCTGGATTTGCAGGGAACAAACCAGCAAAGAGCTTCACTGCAGCTGAAAGGAACTCCAAGGAAAACAAATTTGTGTTCTGCAGGCAGAAGCCCTTTTGGCAATGCATTGAAACAATCATAAGGACCAGGGCTGGTAATGCTCATGATGCCATCCATACAGTGTATGATGTGTACAGACAAGAGAAGACTGCAACAAAGATCCTCAAGGTTCTTGTAAAGCACAAGAGGGAAGGTGGACACTCAATGTTGAGGTAGCTGGTTGATTGCTGCATGATTTTTGACTCAGTTCTTTGGGCCGACGCATTGCTCATGGACGCATTCTTGCACGTAGTAGACGCGTTGGTTTCTGGTGAACGTGTGGTTTGCTGGTGAAGGGGGTGGTTGCTGGTGGACATGTTACTTGTGGACAGGTTGCTTGTGCTGGATGGGTTGCTTGTGGATGGGTTGCATGTGGACATGTTGCTTGTGGGTGTGTTGCTTGTGGTTATGTTTGTTTGAACACATTGCTGGTGGATGCGTTGCTGGTGGATACATTGCTTGGAGGTGTTTCTTTGAACGCGTTGCTGTTGGATTGATCCTTGTATGCGTTGCTGGTGGATGCATTGCTGGTGGTGTCGTTGTTGTTGTCGTTGCGTCCTTGTAGTGTTTGTTCTTTGTTTTGTGTCGTTGCCCCCCATCCCTTACATCAATAACACCATCAAATTAGTACTACTATATGTTAACTGTGACTGCTTTTGCTGTGTGCTGTCCTCAACAAGAGGAGCAAGTTTAATAGCTGATAAGATGGCCCATTGTCGTGATTGTGGATTGTCAAGAATTACCTTCACAGCTTGTTTTTTTTCACAGAATTTGCCTTGTTGAAAATCATGGAAGTTGAATAGAATAAAAAGTACAAAAATAGTCATTATTCGACTGGAAGTGTCCTTCTGGAATAAGGGAGTTTGAGGGGGAGAAAAATGTAAAAACATGGTATCAACAAATTTTTAATGTAAAGCATGTACTAGGTTGAACACGATTTTTTTCTGTAAAAATATAAAGTTACGGAAATGAGATGTTGGTGGCACGAGACGAGTTTCCTGATATGCTAGTAGTACTATGAAAGATTGAACAAATGACAAACGTACAGTACGGTACATACAGTACACCCAACTTTTGACTTCCCCTGGCTGCGCACCGCAAAAGACCTAATTGTGTCAGTAATTGTTCTCAACTGATGAGCATCAGTTGATGTTTCGGTGATGAATTTTGACACTGTGCTGGTCAGTAGGATGTTACCAAAGTGTACGTACGTAGACTTGTACATGATTTTCTACTGTTGCATTTTTAGTTCCATTATGGTCTGATACCCCCACGTTACGTACTAGTACTGGTTGTAAATATTCGTTGTATGGCCATCACACTTCAAAGTCAGATTTCAGTCGTGTCACGTGTCAATCGTTTCTACCCGCCCAAATTTTGAAGTGAAGCCGAAAATCGAAAATCGACCAAACAACAAGCATCCCAACTCGAGGAATTACTACATTCGTTACGAGTCGTAGCACTCGTACTCGTGCTCGTCGCAGTGGTAGAATAATTTGACAGATGACTGAAGACAGGTTACTAGTACAGACTGGTATTGTACTATGAATTTGCAAACGTTAACCGGAAGCTAAGAGTGATATGGCTACCGCGAACTCTCAGCAGATCGATCCTGTCGGGAACAGACGAAGGTCGAGGAATAAAACACTTCGTCGATGTCACTGAAAAAGTCGCAAACCAGACCGTAATTTGTATCGATATTGAAATCGGATTTTGTCGCTAGTTTGTCTCGATCTGAGATTGCTTAATACAATCCATCCGAGTGAAAACAAGAGCCCGTCAGCAATACTGACTATGGAAGATAATGGCAATCCAACGAGAATGACTAAATATTTATTTCACTCTTCGTCTCAGGCGGAAGATGTAGCTCTGTCCTCGGATCAACAGGCTGTGAGCGATGCTCAAGAGAGGGAAATGAACAAAAGTACTCAATACTTGACTTTACGAACCAATTCAAAAACTACTTCGCCTTCGTCTAGGGGACGTACCTCTGCACCTGCATCTCAACGCCGATTATATAGTGGAGCTACATACACACGAGATAAACCAACTGCCGCACAAAGCATTACATACGAAGACAATGAAGAACAACTTGAAACCAAATCCATGAAACTGAAAAGAATACTATATGGATCATTGTCGTCGTCGTCGCTTGAAAAATCTGTGAGACTACCCTCTTCGAGTAGCGTTAATTCAAATTTTAATAAAAAAACGAAACAAGTGGAAAGAAAAGGCGGTTCGCAAGAACATGAACTTTCCTATCAACACCAAGCTGTAATAGCCACGGCAACATCATCGACAAAAAAATTTACAGACGGTCATGGGAGGCCTTATATTGATCGAAACTCAACACGAAATACTGATTCTCAGTCATCAGATTCTCGAAGACACCGAACGACACAAAATAGATGTAGCGCCGAAACACGTGCCTTGCGAAGATCAGAGGAGCAACGAAACACCAAAATGATGCTGGTGAAACCACGAGGCGATGTTGCAGAATCAACTCCCAACATAACAGTGGAATCGAAACTCCTGGAGTCATCTACTACAGATTCTGGAATGCTCCATTCGTTTACAAGGGGTTCAAAGCTCGACAACAAGAATAAAATAGAGAAAAAAGAATCCATGGCAAGAAAGAAAATAATAGATCGAAGAAGTGAGAAAAGCAATCTTGGAAACAACAACATGGGTGATGAATTTTGCTGGATGCCCCCTGCCTTGACAAATCCAATCTGTTCAGACTACCGCTACGATAGACCGACTGCAGAAAGTAAAAGGAAGAAAGACCCCGATGCCCGAGATTCTACAGGAGAAGAAAAACCAAAATCTAAACCATTTTTTGGGACATCTACGTTACAAAACGATAAGAAATCAAAACCGGACGTAATGAAATACCAATCCCAAGAAAACTTAGTAGACAAAATCCCTCCTGTCTTCGAGGTAACGTTGACAGTACCACTTGATGACGATTCTACCCTCGGAACTGAGGGAACATATTTAGACCGTTTTCCGAAGAAGAATAAGAGAAGCCAAGAAAAGCAAAGGAAAAAAATTAAAACGCAACAAAATGAAGCTATCATAATTCAAGAAGCGGCAACAGATCAACCGAAACCACATGCTATGGACAGCTGGTTGCCAGGTGGGGTACAATCGACAAACTACGAACCTGAAATACCATTCAAAGAAACAGAAAAAAAGAAAAGACATTCGCAACAGTCATCTTCTCTCCGAAAAAATATACTTGAGGTCCCAGGTAACAGTGATTACAAGCATATCAAAAACATTGTTTCGAGCACGACCAAGGCTTCTTGGAACAATGCAATTCAGAGAGATGACCCACCCGCGAATGAATACATGTTTCCATACGATCCTAAAAAGTTGTATCACCAACAAGTTCTACCTGGTCAATCTGATTCTGTAGATGTTGATACTTTCCACGATGATTCCTTTGAACATTATTATTCGTCGGAACTTGGCAATACGCCAGAAACTTCCATCGCAGGTAGTCATAACCCCCAACAATACGTTCTCTCTTCAGCGAGGCCCCTTACATCATGGGTTCCTCCAAGTATGGAGGGCCAAGGAGACGCCGTTGATTTGAACCCTACCAGAATATATGTCAACTCTATCATGACAAAAAAAAGATCAAGAAGTTACATAAACTCATTGATAGCGAAGAAAAGATCATGTTTACCTCTTTCGCATTCAGCGGTTTTTGCGCAAAGAAGTTCTGGCGAGCCGCATGACAATGAGACCACGGATCCCTCCCAATTATCAGCAAATTTTCCTGACGAGGTCGGAGGCATAACCGTATCCGGAAACTCTGCACCACCATCAAATCCCACTATTCATTCAAGATCTTCGAAAAAGAGCTTTGAAGACCCTGAGATATCAACATCGGAATATTCACAAAATACAAGTCGAGAAGGTTCTTCATTATCGAAGAGATCAGGAAAAGTGCATGACACTGAGCAGGGGTGGGAGACATCTCAGAGTACTGATGTTGTGATGCCTAGACCTTGTACCACGTCCTCCTCACCTTGGTCAGCTGTGAAGGAATCGTCCAAAAAAGGCTTTCAATCCGATTCATACAAAGGAGGTAGAAAAATGATAATTTTGATTTGTTTGTTCTCAGTACTTGTTGTCGCTGGTGCAATTGTTGTGGTGGTATTATGGAAGCTAGGAATTCTATTTGATGACAGCACCTCCCAACCTGAACCAAATGAATTCTCCACACCTACTTCAATAAGTCCAACGACAACCTCCACACAGGCTCCAAGTATGGCTCCGGTAATACGCGACAATCCATCGGCATTCGCCCCTTCCCAGAACTACAGTAGCTCCCCGATAAATGTACCTTTGGTTGAAGAGTCGGAAAGGGGAACTGATCTGTTCAATCTTGTGGTTGATGCATATCCACAGGGGCGAGCGGCGTTGCAAGCGCCAGATAGTCCTCAGGGAAAAGCACTTCAATGGCTGCTTGAATCTACGGTAAATGGTGAGACATTTATTGATGAACGTGTCCTTCAACGCTATGTTTTGGCGACCATCTATTACTCGACAAATGGAGATGAATGGACGAATAATACTGCATGGTTATCAGAGTTGGACGAATGCGAGTGGTGGTCTACAGCTGAGAAAGTTTGTGACGAGTTCGGAAGATACAGGAAATTGGATTTGCAGGAAAACAATCTCGTTGGTTCTCTTCCGTCAGAGCTCGTTATTCTTTCAAACTCTCTTATGACTATTAATGTGCGAGATAATGCATTGTCCGGACAACTGCCGTCATTGTTGGTTGCAGACCTAACAAATTTGGAGGTATTGGACCTTTCATCGAACGCTTTCTCTGGTGAACTATCTCCGCGACTGTTTGATGCTAGAAAATTGACAAGGCTTTCGTTGTTTGAGAACATGCTCTCTTCATTTATCCCGGCGGATCTTGGAAAATTAACTGAGCTGTACGTGCTTGATTTTGGATCCAATAAGCTCACATCCACAATCCCTACTGAGGTTGGTAAGCTTTCAAAATTGACTGGCCTTTCTCTTTTCAATAATATGCTCTCGGGTGCAATACCCACAGAGATCTTGGAGCTTCAAAACTTAAATATGCTGTATATTGATTCAAACAACTTTGAAGCGAACGTTCCAGAGGAAGTTTGTCTCATTGACCTTGAGGAGTTTTGGAGCGACTGTGAGGAGATTCAGTGCACGTGCTGCACGACATGTTGTAGTGACAATTTTGGATGCTTTGCCGCTTTGTAGAGCAAACTTTACTGAAGGTTGTTTTACCAATTCCATGCCCCGGGAGACAAGCAGCCTGCGCTATTGGTGACTTTTCTGTCATCTAATGCACCAAAAATGCGTTAGTAGCTTCCTATATTTGTGTAAATTAACAATCAGTACTTATGCTTACATGTTTCTTCATTGTTGCATAACAACTTTATCCCAAGATATTGGTACTGGTTGGGACTCTCCTTGGATGAACAAGTTCAAGGAGACTCTTTACAGCTGCATCCAGACAGAAAATGAAAAAGTAAAAAATAGTAAGAGGGTTGTAGCATCAGATGCTCTTTCTTTTTATTGCACAACTAGTGGTGTGGTCCCATTTTGAAGCAGTATTGGTGTTGAGCATCATTGAGACAGCTTCTGACATTAATTACTGGAAATTAATAGATGATGAAACTACTGAACTAGTATAACCAACTGAAAGCTTCTGTAACAGTACTTTCATGACTGAGTTAAGGATACATTGTGCTGAACTTGGTTGCTTTGGTTCTCATGGAGTTCATGCATACCCCACATGGGATTTTTTTTGAAACTTGATATCACACTTTGTGCTGGGGTACACATCCTAATTAGAGTATATCCATTAAGATATGTTTTTTGATATCCCTTTGCATCCATTGATGTTCATTGATGTATGTAGATTACAGAATTGGTAGTTCCAAGTAAAATCCATTATCAAGGGTGTTAAAAAATTGATTTTTGCTTTTCTGTTATGGTACATCTAATGGAGCACTGTGCTAAGTTGAGGATTTTCACATCCTGGTTACACTAAACATGATCMATAGAGGACATGCCCTGCTGTGCTTCAGATCCAATCACGCTCTGTCACCAGCCAATACAAGAGAGCTCTCACAGATTCATGTCTGATCCCCCGATATCATGCATACTTGACAGAGAGAAACCAGTGGACCCCACAGGTTATTGCCAATATTGCGTGGAAGTCCCTGAGCATCGCTATAAACCGCATCTCCAGGAATGTCTTGGTCACCAAATGTTGCAACAGTATTCTACCCACTGCCACTGTTCTCAAAAGATGGAAATACCAAACTCATGATACTTGCTGTCTCTGTCTGATGCCTGAAGATTGTGAGCATCTCTTTCGATGTTCTCATCCATCACGACTACGATGGAGAAGGCAGACCATTACATCTTTACGACAACGGATGTCCACACTTGGCTTCAAGCCAATTGCCATTGCCACTCTTGCTACTTGTCTTACCGAATGGCTAGACACTGGCGAAGTTTCTCCAGCAAAATATCCTTCATCACTCCATCCAGTTATTCATTTCCAGAGCGAGATTGGGTGGCA